GCCATCCAATCATGTAACCTTCTCAAAGTTGAAAACTTTCACTTCCCCCGAATATTTCTTTCCATCAGCTGGTTCAGCTTACACTTACTGAACGCCTACTGAAATGCGGTTAGTGTTAAATGGCGCAGTTCCTCAGAGAATTCGGTGTCTGATAGTAAAAGAGAGACCAACACACTGCAAGTTTCATATGAGACCCTAACACCTATAAAAAGAGGACTACGTAAATATGACATTTATGTTCATTGAATGGAAAGCTTTGATTTTTCATTTTATTCAGGTTGTTACAAAAGCAAGTTTAAATAGCATTAAAAATTTTTTTCATGAGTCCTAGCCAGTTTGCTCAGTGGTTAGAGCATTGGCTGACCCTACGACTGAAGGGTCTCAGGTTCAAATCCAGTCAAGGGCACGTACCTCAGTTGCAGGCTCAATCCTTGGCCCCATTCGGGGCACATGTGGGAGGCAACCAATCGATCTCTCTCTCTCTCTCACACCCCCACCCTTCCACTCTCTCTGAAAAACAATGGAAAAAATAACCTCAGGTAAGAATTAAAAAACAAAAAAATCTCCATGAGACTTACACAATGCTGTGTTATGTGAATGGTATGTAGTACTTTGAAAGTCCCCTGGACTTTTTGATCATATCCAGTATCAGTAAAGGGAGGCTACATCCACATAGCCACATGATTCCCAGTCACACACCTCTCTCCAAAGCAGACTGGTAGTCCCTTGCCACTCTACTGTGCCAGCTGCAACATTTGGGGACTGAATTATTTTTCTCAGTGAGGTGTTAGCAACCATTATCACTATCCCAGGAAGTTGTCCTTTCCTGGAGATAAATTGCCCTAAGAAACTATGTTTTCCCTTTCTGCACATATTTCCAAATTTCATTGCTCTGCATGGAGGGGAAGCATACGCTGCTTCTCAGCACCACTCACTTCAAACAACTGAGAATCACATGGTTGTTTAGGCCAGAGGAGCAATGGACATACACCATCCAGAAATCTCCTTTTGTATAACAGGCTCAGCTAAAAATGCCACAAAGTTGTATTAATAACATGCAGTTTTTGTCTGTCATTAACCCACTAACACTGCCGCCAACCCTTCCGAACAATATCAGGACTCTTAAAAATCCTCACCAATCTCCCACCCCTCTTCTATACATTTTCTTTTGTCTCCCAAAGAAGAAACAGGTCTGTGATCTTATCAGGTTTACTTAGCAGTATTTATTAAAGTTACTGACTTTGTCACATTGTCTTTGGTTTGCAGTAGTGTTGTCACAGAGGGGATTTGAAGTAAACTAAGAATACATTTCAGTCCTTGAGGAAAATCCATGCAGAACCACAGCCAGGGTGGTTCTAGTTGTTGACATTTGGACCTAAGACCACAATCTTTTTAATCATCAATCCTTTTAATCCCATGTCCTTCCAAAATGGAGGGTAGCAGACTATACCACCCTGAAATTTGCCTCTTTGGCATACGGATTATTTTGAGCTGAAGGCAATTGAGAAGAAGCAGGTATAAGAAAAGCTTTCTGTCGTCCCTCTATTTGCCTAAAAGCAGGATATAAATTTGTAAAGGTGTTCCCCCCTCCCCTCCCTACCAGGAAGGACAGATTTTACCAAAGACAAGTCTAGACCCTTATCAGCACCAGAGAAATCCACATAACAAACTTGACTAACTAGCCCTTATCTTCCATTAGTTCCCCTGTATATTAACCTTTCCACAATTTGCCACCTTAGAAACTCAAAAGCACGTTTCCTTTGTCTTGTCGCTTCTCTAAAAATGTATTGTTCTTTTGTTAAGATGCTATATAAACCCAACAAACCACCACTTTGAGTCTCTCTTCATTGAGCATTCCCATGGGTCCTCATGATGCACATGCTAATGAACTCGTTTGTTTTTCTCTTGTTACTCTGTGTTTTCTCTGTCTAATTTACAGGGCCCCAANCTTCTCTAAAAATGTATTGTTCTTTTGTTAAGATGCTATATAAACCCAACTAACCACCACTTTGAGTCTCTCTTCATTGAGCATTCCCATGGGCCCTCATGATGCACATGCTAATGAACTCGTTTGTTTTTTCTCTTGTTACTCTGTGTTTTCTCTGTCTAATTTACAGGGCCCCAACCCATGAACCTAAGATGGGTAGAGGGAAAAGTTCTTTTCCATCCTTACCAAAACAGACTAGAGCACAAGGATAGGTTGGTAAATTGCTTTCTCTATCTACTCTAAATAGAGATACTACCCATCTCTGAGATTATTGGTCTAGTGTCTTCTAAGGTTACAAAACCTCTCAACAATTACAGATAAGGGATAAAGGGAAGCTAAGCCATACTTTCTATATTTTTAGTTTTGAAAAATTCTAAAATTAAAAGACTCTTTTCTCTTTCTTTAAGAGAAGCAGAGATCAATAGGCACAGTACATCTAATGATGCATAAAAGGTAACATTTTAGAGTTCATCCCCAAAGACAAGCTAGGCAACAGTAGAGAAATCTATGGGACTTCGATTAGCCATCACAGTTTTTCATTTTATTTTTTGATTAACTTTTTTCATGCATAGCTGAAAAACACCAAACAGAATGAAAGGCAAGCTTTGTAATTAGACTAGATTGCCCAAGGCAAGAGAAAAAGAGAGACAGGCAAATCCTGTAATTCAGCTCCTAAGTAACATCCTCCACATGATAGAGTTTCTTCATACATTTTTTAATCATGTTTTAAAGTTTTGCATATATACATTGAAATGAGTGTTTCTGTTGGGAAAATATGTTATTTTGCATCAAGGCTTTCTTTTTCTCTTAGACACATCTTTTTCCCCATATTTTAAAACATACAGGACGTAGAAACATGTGGAAGCAATAAAGAAAGGGAAACTGTCATGAGCAAGAAATAGATGATAAAACTTACACAGGTGAATTCATTAATACATAGATTAATACATACATTAAACTATAGTATGAACCACACAAATCACATGCTCTGGAATAGCAAATAAAAAACTAAGTGTTGTATGTTTATTATATGGAAAGCAATATAACTCATATAGGAAAACATCTAACTTAAAACAAGGTATACTTTGATTTGGCAAAGTTTTTATTGTTTTCTTTATTGTCAAAGTGGAAAAATGTCCCATATTTGATAAACATTGTTCTATAACAGAAAGATATTTATTGCTGTAAGATTAATTAAAGTTATTGTATTTTATCTGGGTCTAAAGTTTTGGCCTTCTTTGTGTACCTCTATACAAAGACCACAGCCATTGTGTCTTTTTGTGAGATATATTTATCTTCATAATTAAGACAAACTCTCTGAGATCTTAAAGAAAGATCCGGATAGTAAATTCCAATTACCCCTTCAGGCCCTAGCCGATTTGGCTCAGATGTTAGAGCGAAGGTGGGCAGACTGAAGGGCCCTGGGTTCGATTTTGGTCTAGGGCACCTACCACGGTTGAGGGCTCAGTCCCTGGCCCAGGTCTGAGCACGAGCAAGAAGCAACCAATCGATGCGTTTCTCTCACATCGATGTTTCTCTCTCTCTCCCTTGGCGAGGATAAAAAAATAAATAAATAAGAAATAAAAAGTAAATAAATTACCCCTTCAGGGAATTTGTGTACTGGTCTTCCTCTAAAAGTTATATAGTTTTGCTTTTCTTTGCTTTAGAAGAAAG